TAGATCTAGACACTATGCTCCTATTGAAGCAGGCCAAAATCCCATTGGCTTTTTTTGCTGCCACATCACATTCCTGACTCATGTTTAACTTGTCCACGAGGACTCCAAGATCTTTTTCACTCGTACTGCTCTCGAGCCAGGCATTGTCCCCCATTCTGTATCTTTGCATTTCGGGTGCCCTGACAAATTTGTGAACATCCTGGGGCTCCTCCATGATAACATGATGGCAACAGTCTTGGACAGCAATGGCTTCCAAAGTGACCCATTTAGGGTCAAATCAGGTGTCAACAGGGATGTGTTATTGCCCCAACTCTATTCTCCATCTTCATCGCTATGATACTTCATCTTGTTGATGGGAAGCTTCCCACTGGAGTGGAAATCACCTATCGAATAGATGGCAAGCTATTTAACCTCAACAGACTGAAAGCCAAAACCAAGCTCACAACAACATTTGTTATAGAACTTCAATATGCTGATGACAACGTCATCTGTGCACATTCAGAAGAAGATCTACAAGCCACTCTAAACACCTTCACAGAAGCATACGAGAAGCTCAGCCTGTCATTGAACATAGAGAAAACCAAAGCGCTCTTCCAGCAGTCACCAGCCAATCCCTCTCCAATGCCAGAAATACAGCTTAATGGTGTAACATTAGAAAATGTTGACCATTTCCGCTACCTTGGCAGCCACCTCTCCACAAAAGTCAACATTGACACTGAAATACAACACTGCCTGAGCTCTGCGAGCACAGCATTTTTCCGAATGAAGCAGAGAGTGTTGGAGGACTGGGACATCCGTAGGGATACCAAGGTGCTTGTTTATAAAGCTATTGTCCTCCCAACACTGCTATACGCCTGCGAGATGTGGACTGTCTACAGACATCACATGCAACTCCTAGAACGATTCCATTAGTGTTGCCTCTGAAAAATCCTGCAAATCTCTTGGGAAGACAGGCAGACAAACGTCACCGTGCTGGAAGAAGCAAAGACCACCAGCATTGAAGCGATGCTCCTCCGCCATCAGCTCCGCTGGACCGGCCATCTTGTCCAGTTGACTGACCACCGTCTCCCAAAGCAGTTGCTCTACTCTGAACTCAAGAATGGAAAACGAAATGTTGGTGGGCAGGAAAAGAGATTTAAAGATGGGCTCAAAGCCAACCTTAAAAACTCTGGCATAGACACCGAGAACTGGGAATAATAATAATAATAATAATAATAATAATAATAATAATAATAATAATCTTTATTTAATACCCCGCTACCATCTCCCCAATGAGGACTCAGGGTGGCTTACATGAGGCCAAGCCCAACAGCATATTACAATAAAGTAAAACCAAAACACAATAACAACACAGTAAAATACATACAACATATGAGTTGTTGTTGTCGTGTCAGGAGCAACCTGAGAAACTGCAAGTCGTTTCTGGTGTGAGAGAATTGGCCGTCTGCAAGGACGTTGCCCAGGGGACGCCTGGATGATTTGATATTTTATCATCCTTGTGGGAGGCTTCTCTCATGTCCCCGCATGAGGAGCTGGAGCTGATAGAGGGAGCTCATCCGCCTCTCCCCGGATTCGAACCTGCGACCTGTCGGTCTTCAGTCCTACCAGCACAGGGGTTTAACCCACTGTGCCACCGGGGGCTCCAACATATGAGTACAAAGACGATAAAGCAAAATCATACACAGTAAAATAAAATAACATAACATAACAATGAGTGGGATAAAAACTAAGATACTAAAAATACTAAAATCAGGATGAGATAGGGATGGAGCAGATTGTTTGTGGGGGAGAAACTCGTAAAGGAACGGGGTCATAAATATAGATCTTCATACAGGTGGGGAAATATACTCTGGGGACAAAAACCATTGAGGGAGAACAACTACTCCCCAAAAGCCCTGGCCCTTCAGCACTCCAGCTGGAAGTCAGCTGTGACCAGCAGTGCTGTAGAATTTGAGGAGGTGAAAAAGAGAAACATGGCAAGAGGAAGGCGCATCAAGCCAACCCCGACCGGGACCGCTTTCCGTTTGGAAACCAATGCCCTCACTGCAAGACAACATGCAGATCAAGAATAGGGCTCACACAGTTACCTACAGACCCACCACCGAGTAGGATTGGAAGACAATCCTACTCGGACAACGAGGGATCGCCTAAGTAAGTAATTCTACAGTGCAGAGCCAGTCCTAGCATGCTTATAACTTGTCCCTTGGCTCGCCTGAAAGTGTGGCTGCATTTCTCGGCCAGCACAATTGTCCCGACTCCATCGGAGCAAGACCACCTGGGCCAGTAATTTAGTGCCTTCCGTTGTTGGCCTCTTTCCCTGCGTGCCGCCGAGAGCAGAAAGGATATTGACTCTTGCATTTCCGCTCCGCAAGACAGATAAGAAGATTGAGGCTCTCCGCCACTTTGCATTCTGCTTTGTTAACGTTCGTAATTAGTTACGGGACTTCGTTCCAAAAATGTGTTGACTTCAAGGAGCCTGTGCCAAAAGTGGTTGAAAGGGCCGCTTGTGCCAAATACATCACCGATGGCAGGACAGGACCAGAGGAACAAGAAGCAAAGCCAATAAAATGTCTTTATGGAAGAAAAGGCATGCCTTTAGGTGGGAGAAATAGGTGCTGACCTCTTCAGGGACTCAATAAGTAAATACGCTGCAGATTCCAGAGAAAGCGTTGGAGAGTCCTTGGGAGATTTGGGCAAGATGGGATCAACAAGCAGAAGGATTAAGCCAAGAACTACAAATATTGACAGAGATATTTAGTTTCAGGGGTCTCCGTGTTGATATCGCCCTGAGCAATAGAGTAGAAATGGATAATGGAGTGTTGTGGAATGGAAGAATAGGTAAGTTTTGGATAGGTAAGTTTCGGTCCAACTTACCTATCCAAACGTATCGCTCTTTATGAACCATCAAGGACGTTAAGATCTTCTGGAGAAGCCCTTCTCTTGCTCCCGCTTTCTTCACAGATGCATCTGGCAGGGATAAAAGACTGGGCCTTCTCAGCAGTGGCCCCTCGACTGTGGAATGCCCTGCCTAGAGATATAAGATCGGCTCCCTCCCTCCTGGCTTTTTGAAAAAAGATGAAAACTTGGCTTTTTGAGCAGGCTTTCCCAAATAAGGCCTAGCTAAATGGAATTATGGAACTACTACGTGATAACGCAATGGAATAACGATTTGACATGGAGACACTCCCGATAATGTTTTAAGGCTTTGTACGGTTTTAATATTTTTATTTATTTATTTATTATTTGAACTTATTTTCTGCCACTCCCCTGGGGCTCGGAGTGGCTTACAAGAACAGGCTAAAATTGAACACAATTTAGAAACACTTTTAAACATTTTAAAAAAAACAGCTATCAAAGATCAAAGGCCCATCGAAACAGATATGTCTTACATGCCCTGCGTAATGCTGATAAGTCCCGCAAGGCACGGACTTCAGGTGGCAGAGTATTCCAGAGCGATGGTGCCACTGCTGTGAAGGCTCTGCGTCTGGTTGCTGTTAGACGCAAGGTCTTGACACTGGGAATTTCCAATAGATCTTGGTCCTCAGAACGGAGGGATCTCCGGGGTTGGTAGGGGGTGAGGTGGTCCCTCAGGTACATTGGCCCCAGACCATGCAAGGCCTTCAAGGTGAGTCCCATCCCTTTGAATTTGCATTGGTAACCAATGCAGCTGTAGTAAGATTGGTGTTATGTGGCATCTCATCAGAATTCCTGCAAAAAACTGAGCAGCTGCATTTTGTACCAGTTTGAGCTTTCGGATCACCGACAGAGGAAGGCCAATGTAGAGGGCGTTACAGTAGTCCAGTCTTGAGATGACCATAGCCTGGATCACGGTAGCTAGGTCATCCCTGGACAGAGAGGGGTCCAGCCATCTAGCCTGCCGCAGATGAAAGAAGGCAGTTCTGCTCACGGCGGAGACCTGGGCCTCCATCATCAGCAGAGGGTCCAAAAGGACTCCCAGACTCTTGACCAATGATGACGGGCGTAGCGTCTCACCATCCAGGGTAGGCAGATGGATGTCCCCACTGCCCGGTCGACCCAGCCATAGGATCTCCGTCTTTGCTGGATTCACCCTTATGAACCATCAAGGATGTTAAGATCTTCTCGGGAGGCCCTGCTCTCACTCCTGCCTTCTTCGCAGATGCGTCTGGCAAGGATGAGAGACAGGGCCTTCTCAGCGGTGGCTCCTTGACTGTGGAATGCCCTGCATAGAGATATAAGATCAGCTCCCTCCCTCCTGAATTTTCCACAAAAAAAAAAGTGAAAACCTGGCTTTTTGAGCAGGTCTTCCCAACTACGGCATAGCTAAATGGAATTATGGAACTACTTGATAACACAATGGAATAATGATTTGACATGGAGACGCTCACGACAATGTTTTAAGGCTTTGTACTGTTTTCATATTTTTTACATCATATGCTATTGTTGTTAACAGATTTTTAAAATTGTTTTTACTTGTTATAATAGTTGAGGCATTGAATTGTTGCCAATTTGTGAACTCCGAGTTGTCTCTGG